GAAATCACTCAAGCACTCACCAATGCTTCTGCTTCTCTCCCCCTCCCTACCTTCTTGCTATAGGGTATGTTGCCATCACACTGAACTAGTTAGTGTGAAGCTGTTCCTGTGCCTTTTACTGAACAGAATCAGAACTACTGAACTGTGTGTCATTGACCACATGCTAGTACAGGATGCAAAGATCCTTCTTCAGCTCAAATAGTACAGGGTTGTGCTTTCTATTTTCAGTGTCCCCAGTTCCAAAGGACCTTCCTGCATGCTGCAGCGCCAACTGTGAAGTCTTCAGGGACCATGGATTTCTTATAGTGAGTTTATGTCACAATGTTCAGCAGCTTTTAATTACCTATGCACATCTTTTACTGATTGCTTTTTTTTTTAGCATATGAGATAAATCCTGAGAGAGAGAGACCAGGATTTTTAGTAAAACACTGTTTAAACAACCTGCTTCCTTTTAATGGATTAGCTTCTGCTTTCTACAACAAATATTTTTGGAAAATTAAATGCAGAGCTATGCAGTCCTTACGGAATATAAAAGAGGCTCTTCTCTGCCTTCTGTCCCCGGACTCCACTGCCTCAGACTCTGGAAATACTGTGGTGCATCAGCAGCTATATTAACATTGTCCTTTATATGCCAGGTTTAGAAAAGCTCTCCATTTAGGCCATCTTTCACTTGATAGAGAAAATATTCTCTTGTTTTTTCTGAATTTCAGACAAAGTGCCTCCTCAATGTCTGAAAAAGGTCTAGGGGGAAATATGTCATTTTAGAATATTAAAAAGTCTGGTGGCACTGGAGAGCATTGTCCCCCTCCTCCCCAAGCTTTTAATCAGGGTCCTGAAATTTCACCTAATATTGCACATACTGTAATTCTAGAATTTCCCGACTTTAAGTGCTTGACTTCTTAGCCTTAATCGTTTCTTAACATAGGTGCTCAGTGTGCAATTATAGCATGCCAACAATGTCTGATTGTCTCCCCACCCTTTTGTCCCTGGATGGTGGCCACATGTTCTGGTTTTGCCTGTTCTTAGAGCATAGCCTCTTCAGAGCAGGACCTAGTGTCCCAGTTGTTTTGAAAGCACCATGTATACATGTAGCTTTATATAAATAATGATAGTATCATTATAAATAACTACTAAGTTGCCAAATCTTCAAGTAAACACTTGTCTGTTGGTGTGTTTAATTAGACTAACAAAGGTTATAGCTGTATGTCAGATTCTCAACCAGTGTTTTTCTGTGTCTATTTAAAAAACCTTAGAAAATCTCTCTAAAGTTTAACAAACATCTGGAGTTGGATAGTGTTATCATTTTCACCCCTACAGTAGCTGTCATTTTGCTAGAATTTCTTTAAAACAGCCTTCATTTTGGGATTATGGAAAAAAAAAGACTTTTTTCCCCATGGGCCACAATAGACTCTGGTGTACTTCTTAATATCTAATAAAATAATTTCTATAATTTTTTACTTTGTTTTGGAAATTATTTAACTAGAACATGAAGTGATCTGGCTAGATTGCTGGGTCAAAAGTTGCATCTAAATGACATGCTTTACTGTGTAGTAGCATAGTTTACTGCACATTAAGCGTGCGCGTCTACAAGTATGCATGCTTACTGCACAGTAAACCTTGCTAATTGTGAGCAAATTTGCTACCTGCAAATGCAAGTAGCATATTTACTTGCAATTACTTACTGTGCAGTAATGCTCATGTAGACACTTGACCAGGAGCAAATCTGCTCCCAGTCAGCCAGCTAGCAGGGGGAAGGAGATTGCTTCCTGCCCCCAGGAGCTGCCTGCTGCTGGGGCAAGCTTTGCCACTGGAGCCCAGGTGAGGACTATGTCCCCCTGCCCCCAAAACAGGTTGCTCTCCAAGCCACCTGCTCCAAGATTGCAATTGAGGAGTGGGGGCTGGGAGATAATGATCACTTCACCATTACTTCTGGGGAGCAGGGGGCTGAGAGCAAGTCTTATCTTCTGCCTCAGTCATAGGAAAAATTGCTTGATGCAGGTGTGGGGCTCCCAAAGTTGTTAGATGCTGACATATAAAAGTTTATGCACAAGCCTGGCCTGGCCCGGCCCCACAATGATGGTGGGGAGGGTGGGGGTGTGGGGCAAGCCCAGCACTGCAGCAGAGGGGAGGAAAGGGGGAGGAGGCCTGGCCCCAAATTTGGTTGGACATTTTGAATGTCGGTACTTAGCCTTGGAGAGGATGACCTGCACATGTGATTGGGCATAGTACACCACAAAGGTAGTCATGTGAGATAAACTTGATGCATATCTTGACTGAGTACCAAAGGCAGGATTTCCTGCAGAACGTCTCTGTCTATGGTTAGGAAACATGCCTTGAAGACTGCAGGGCTGACATAAAGATAGCATTGTGGCCTACCTACTGGAGCTGAGTTTTGCTTTACTAAATCAGTACTTCTGGTGACAAGAGGGCGGTGATAGGTAGTGACTGCATAATAAAGTTCTCTTTCCTTTGGCTTCTCCGTGGGAGGCCTTTGTCAGAACTCTGTGCGAATGATATGTGGGTCCCAGCATAGTTCCCACGTAAAAAGCATTACCACTGAGGACGGTATATTTATGCAGACTGGATTTCTAAAGTAATGCACCAACAGAGTTTTGTGCCAAGTCCAAATAATCTTGAAGTACTGCAAGTTTTAACTTGTCACAGCTGGCATTTATCCAGTCCTGATCACACACAAGTTCAATACTCTCCTCCCTCTGACTTGCTTCAGCAGAATATCAGACAGCAGAATAATCCACACATAAGCAAACACAGGGTTCAGGAAAATACTATATTTCCCCCTGAAGTATTAGCATACTGAATCAAGACATTAACTCCATTCTCCCAGCCAATATAAATGGTTAAAGTCTAGAGATTTAGTAAATGGATTTTGCTACTCAAAAAATATCCTATCCACTCATATAATGTGTATATGTATTTAATCTGCTCACAGAAACAATGACTTGACTCGAAAAAAACTGGAGCAGAATGACAGGTGTAGAAGCAAGCAAAGTGCACTACCACTGAAGAATAATGCTACACACAAAAAAAATGAACCTGAAACAACCCTAAGATTTAGGAGCACTGAAACCTGGTACCAGAGAATTTTGATTTTCTTTTATTTCATTGCAGGCCTTCATCTCAGTCTCTCACTTGTCTCCAAGTTAAAGGGCATCCCTAATTAGGCATAAATAGTTTCTCCCTTAACTGTATGATATTATCCATTTATTGTTCCATAAATCCAAAAGGTTGCTATTATTTTAACCCTTCCATACATTTTGTGTCAGAAGGGCAGCCTAAAAGATTCCTTGGCACCCAATTGCAGAGGCTGCTGAAGACAGACTAACTCAGTGCATTGCATTGTCCTTTTGCTGGCCAGTGGATCCTTGGCTCCTTTTTACAAGGACAAAGGCAGCATAAGTCCAAGCTGCTCCTGATCCAAGAAGCATTTACAAAAGTAGTAAGAAAGTAATGAGTACCTCTTGGCTTTGCCTTTAAAAAAACCCTTGGTTTTAAAGTGAGAGAGAAAGAAAACACTGTTTTTAACTCCAGTCCTGAAAGCACTTAGGTCCACAAAGATTCAAAGGGACTTGGGATCAAAATTTAGATCTTCAGACTTTGTCCCCCTGCCTATGAAGGCATCTAAGTTTTCACCAATAAAGTTCCGTAAGTCCTGAAGGTACCAAGTTGTACAGAGATATAAAAACAAGGTTATATTGTCATACCCATAAAAACTAGGAGTACAACAAAAGCCAATATCAGGATAAGTATCTCTTGAAAAAAAGCATTGCAGGCAGAAACTAAAATCAGTTAAATCCATCCATCCAAATCCGAGAGAGAAACTGGGAAAAAAAACCTCTCTCTCTCTCTCTCTCTCTCTCTCTATATATATAGAGAGAGAGAGAGAGAGAGAGAGAGAGAGAGAGAGAGAGAGAGAGAGAGAGAGAGATCCACTTTGATCCAAGCTTCAATATACATTTGCTTCAATATTAGCTTCAATATATATATATATATATTTTGAAGCTTAGATCAAAGTGGATTTAAAACCCCAATTTCCCTAGAACCAATCAGAAAACATTAGGAGTGACATCGGTAAGTAATATTTTCCCTGGAGTCACATGAGTAATTATATCAAGACACATTGATTAGTTCCCGTCTCTTGTGAAGAATAGACCTGAATTGAGGAAGGTGCAAGTTAGAGTAGCAACTGGAATATCCATCTAGCAGAACATTTCAAATTTTGATTGTCCCCCATTCTGGAAAATGTATATATTTAAAACATAGCTGACTTTTCTCCCCTAACAAATACCTGGAAGCAAGCCAGGCAGCCCACCCACCAACCAGGTGGGAAGCCAGGCAGCATGTTTGCCAAGCAGCTGCTGGTAGCCTAGTGGGAAACCAGGCGTGACTGCCTGCTTGCATGGTTTCCATCCAAATTTTGACAGGATTGACACTTCCCACAGAACATGTCAATTCCACTGAATCAGATTTTCCAATAGAAAACCATTCCCTCTGGAAATTTTTCTATCTAAAATGTTGTATATGTTTCTGTTCACCCTTGCCATGTGTCTCTGTTGTTTTGTTACACATTCTTAAAACACAGACATCAAACTTGCTGTAAAATATCTTCTAGTCTCATAGGCGAGTGGCCTCGAATATCAGGCATGGTTAATTTGCCAAACTTCTGTGCTTTAATGGTAGTTACAGATATCTACGCATCCTTAAAAAGATTCAGTCAACAACAGAAACTAGTGATTGAATGGAGGCCACAGCCTCAACATTTTCAAGAAGCCTCTGAGCCAGGGAAGCCAATGTAGCTGGGGGGGATGCAAAAGAAAGTGGGCAATGGGAATTTGGTAAGATGGTTATCCAGAAATGTACAGGTGTACAACCCCTCTCAATCTCTTCCCATGTGTTTTCCACAGTCAGAAGATCCCAAGATTTGTCAGGTTACGTACTGAGAAGAGAAGACTCCAAACACCAAGTTGGATTTTCACTTTATTTCACCAAGATGAACAGCAAATATGATAAAATCCTATGTTTGAATGTTGGGATAGCAATGGATAGCTACAGAGATGGACACAAAGAAGCCAATGTGTGTATGTTCGACTACTTGATACTTGTTCATAAATGTATTTAATGTAAGAGCACTTCAGGGTATCTGGTTGTGCAGTGTAAGGCCAGCATTAAAAAGTCACATAAACCTGTGATCACATAGGATAATAGAAAGTAGGGCTGGAAGGGACCACACAAGGTCATCTAGTCTAGCCCCTTGCTCAAGGCAGGATTGTCCCCAACTAAATCATCCCATGGTTGAATGCAAATGCATACTCCACTGCATTGAGGCCCCAGCAGGCATTACATTTAAAATGCAATTAGTCCATTAACCACATCTTAAACAGTAACTGGCCATGTGTTCAGGCAAGTAATGACACCATAAAGAAGGAAACCAGCCACAAAAAAGGTTACACAAAAAATGTGCAATATTTTTGTGGCTGGTTTCTATCACACCTTAAATTGAACACGTGTCAGGGTTAGGACCAGGGTTTCCAACTATGCCTCATGCAGTTCCTGCCCACTGATGATCAGCTGGCTCCAGGACTACACTTTGTCTTGAATAGGACCTGGAACCCTGGTGTGGTCCTGATCCAGCCAGCAATTGTCTGATTGTTGGCTGGCTCCAAGGAACACAATGGGGCTAGTTCAAGCTCCATTGCACTCCCAAGCCATCTGATAAGTTAATTGTCAGCCAGCTCTGGGGATCATGCTGGAGTTGGCTTGCGCCCTGGTATAGTCCTGGAACTGACAGATAATCAGTTAATTGTTGGGCACCCAGCTTTCAACTTCCTGGTACAAGGGGAGCCCAAGATAATGAGCCCAGGCTCCCCCTTCACTGACCAGTAGGGCACAATTAGAATCTGATACCCATTCCAAAATTGCATGTCCTGCCCATGAACATATGGCATGGCAGGATGTGCAATTGTTGGGATAGGGATCAGATCCCATTTAGTTTTAAATTAACTTCTTTCAGTGGTTTGAGTAGCTATGAGGGGGCCATGTGTAGCAATGCTAAACTCTTCTGAACAGAGAACGTGTGCATCATAGTCCTGGATTTTGTATGCCACTGCAGCAGCATACAAGGGCTGGGTCTCATTGGGTCCTTCTCTGTGTGTATAGTTTGCAATCTCAAAGCCTTAGGGTTGTTCTGGGGTCCAGCAAAGAGTCCCTATGGCAATATGCACCTTTTTATTTTCTTTTAAAGAAACCAGCTGAAATTCAGAAATTACATGGGATCTCACTTCTTTCATCCTTTGTCTTATCTACACCCCTCCCCCCCACATGCTCATTAAATACTGTGGATGTGTTTAAATTATTTCCATTAAAAACTCTCCCAAATGTCCATAGAATCAGTTATTTGAGAATTAAAGCAAAGTGAGACAAACATCTACACACTACATTTTTTAATGTCGCACATATTGCATTTTATGGCATCAGAAAGGAAAAAAATAAAGTAACCTCAGAGGCAGAAAATAAATATATACTATAGGAGTATGTGCACAGTGCCAAAATTGCATTTGTAAATTTTTAAATGCTGAATCATAAAACAAAATGTACAAAAGCACTTATTTCTTTATACATGTCAACCTTCTTTTTTAAAAAACACAAAAATAGTTTAACAAATCTTACAAAGATCAGTCTTTTTACCCTTGACCTGGTTAAGAATGGTGAAGAAAGTATATCAACAGGAAACAAACAAATAAAATAAGCCTAAACAGGTAACAGAGTTGCAGCACATTGTAAAGATAGATTTCACCCCTTGGCAGAAAGCCAACAAAAAAAGCTAATACCCCTCTTACTTCCTCCCAAACCAGAAGTGTTGGCACTCTGAAGATAGGTCTGAAACAGAACTACTTCTCTTTACCACACTACTTATCAGCTACAGTAATGTTCCCCATTTGTTGTCCTTTTCAACTGATACATTAGTTTAAATCACAGTGCCTATGAAAATAGGGTATCATGTTTTATGTCCCTCAGTCCTGCAAAGAATTATGCACATTATTAACTTCCTGCACTGTGAGTAGCCTAGCTGATGTTTCTGGTACTACACACAAAGTGTTAAACTTAGAACAAGCCTAAGTTTTTCCAGGATTGGGGCCCATGACTGATGCCAATTTGTGCTATTGGGTGGAACTGCAACTTCTTGCTATATTTGGATGTTTACATTTAATTACACTTTTGAAAATAAAATCATTAAAAATACATAGTACTGTCTGGCATCTCAGCAACAACAACATCTCAGTATAAATGTCACTCTTGGTGTTTATGATGCTAACAACTGCTTTGTTCATTTTGCAATGTATTCCTTTAAAAAGAACATGCTTTAACAACTATTTTTAAAGAATTGAATCAGTTTTGCTTTTAAAAGCAAACGGACAGGTATCAAACAACAGACTTCAAAGTTATGGGATACGATATTTTGCTGTGAACTTTGGCTTTTGCACTTGCTGCTTATTTTTATTAGAAGAGGCATACTAAAGAGAGAAATGATGCCATAGTTTTTAAAGCACAATTTTCTATTAAAATTAGTGGTGAATTCTGTTTGAAACTTGTTGGTACTACATGAACCAATATTACCATGTATAGTCAATTGTGTGGTCATAGAGAAATTTATTGCTAAGGAAAAGTGAATTTGTCTAACAATATAAATCAGTAAAGTTTACTCGATGTGACGTAACTTTGGGGAGTATAACAAAACATGTTTACATACTACATATTTTTTTATTCATTGTACCTAAACATGTTTACAGTACGTTTCAGCATAATCTTGAGCATTCAGGCTTGCTATAAAGTGTACTCTAATGACATTTCAATAGAAAATTACAAAGTTTTTCCATGACAAACACAATTAAAGTAAACACCATGTTGTAGGAAGTATGTAGATCCTGATCTTTACTTTCTGTTCATCATGGACAACTGAGCTCTATGCCAAAATCCAATAAATCTTTTGAGGCCTTACTTCATCCATTCATTCCATTGAGCAAAGTGCATGCTAAAATGCTTTGCTAATCAGAAGCCCAAATTATTTAAAAATAAAATGCATGGTGAAGTTTTTCACAATCTTAATGGTAAGTTTATTTTACAGTGGTCCTTGGAAGTATCAGCCCTCACACCAGTCTAGAGAGAAATGTTTATGTGCAGGAGGATACACTCTTAAAGCATTTGATAGAGCAAATTTGCCGTGGCTAAGGACTGCCTGCAGTGCTGGTCTGTGATCCCTGGGACACACACTGCACAAGCCATTTGCTAAGTTGGCAGGCCCCCTGAATCCCTCCACTCCACTGTGCAGGTAGCACAAAGCCTCCTGGCCCCACCCTATACAGGCATTACTAGTGCCACAAGGTCTTACTTCTTCCCTGGCCCTTCTGCACTATGCACCAGTGGTAGAGATGGCTGCAGGGGCTTGCAGACCACATGTTAACCACTTGCCAGCCACACGTGGCCTGTAGGCCTCCAATTGGACAGCTGTGATAGAGTATGTTATGATATTTTTTGCAAAAAAATGTTACTCCATTGCATAAATATACAATTTATGAGATCCTAAATCTTTTTTTCTGGATAGAAGTACCCTGACTCCAAATACATAAACAGTTATTTGGACTCCTTATAATGTGCATCTAAGGAATATGGATCCACTAAGGAATATATTTTGATGGAAATAATTAAAATATGTGCATTATTTTTTCAGCAACATTTCCCAAAGACTAGAGTCCTTCACCACATAAAAAAGCTTCTCTCATATAGCTCATAAGCTCTATCCCCTGATATGTCTAGCAGAGCAGTCCTTATTTATGCAGTCAATAACAAAACTTTATAGCTTCCTACCATTTACAAAACAAGTTAAAAGGGGTCATTGCAATAGAAACTGGAACTCAAAAGTAGCAGGCACTACAGCACAATCATCCATTATAGTACACAGGAAAACAGCAAACAAATGTTGATACTGTTTTCACTGCCCAGTTCCACTGAAAACAGAAGTGGAACTGATCTTACTCATTTGCATGTTTCCACATCAACTGTGAAGAAAAATGCATTATTCTCTTTATTTTGATGCATTTATTTTATAGGTTATGGCACAAGTACCTCTCTGAAGTATTTATTGTAACTCTTGGAGAGACAGTATCAATACTGAAATGTAGTAACTGACAATTAATTAAAGGTGCATGTGTTATTTACCTCAGGAAGGCATGAGGAATAACAGTAGTTAATGTTAGTACAGCATTTTTAAAGCTACTGTTGTTTTTACTTAATCATTTTAAAAGTGGGGGTGTGGATGGATTGGATCCCCCCCTCCGGGGGGCTCCAGTCTACCCACCCCATCATCCAGTGCAGACTGAACAACCCTGAGACTGAACTCCCTCCCTTCTCTTCTCCCCGTCCCATTCTGACAGCACCCAGAGCAGGGCTGGGTTGCGTTAGCTCAGCCCAGCTCCTGGCATGTGCTGACAGATGTTAATGAAGGTGCTCCACTTTGGAGTACCTTCATCTAAACCCATCCAAAATGTGAATGGGCATTTTTAAAGCACTTTGCATCCATGCACTTCTGTCAGCGCATGGCTGTAGAGCACTTTCAGTGGCCGATCGCATGACAAACCATCATGTCTGATAGTGCTCCAAAGGTCTGACTGACTTTACTAAGGTCACTAGTACATCACTGTTACAGCTGAGACTGGAAATGAGAAGGGCTCAGTGAAACCCAGCCTTATCCCTCTAAATTATCCTCCCTATCATAGGCCATAATACCTCTAACTAGCCTGCATACTAGTCACCGTAAAACTGGTGAAAGATGGTACAGAGACAGTAATAAGAGAAGAATGGAATTAATATAGCATAGTTCAAATGTGGTATCAATAGCAAGTGCTCATTGAGAGATTTTGAAACTACACAAGTGTGAATCCTCAGTGACATTAATTCAAAGGGGTCATAAATACTCTGAGTCTCTAGACCTTTTGGCCCTGCTATCTTGCTTGCATGACTTGTATCACCTGTAATTTATTATTTGTCTCATAAATAAAGCCTTTTTAATTGGATTATTCTTTAAATTATTTCTTAGGAATGCCAGAACAGACTCTCTGTGGACACTGTTTTCTGTACAGTGTCCCAGAAGAATCAAGCAATAGCTCCATCAAGTAGTATGGACCTCATGCTACCTACACTTAAGCGCATGTGTAACTTCAGCCATGCAAAGTTACTATGTACTTAAGATTTGGCCACCTAAGTTGCCAAACAGAAGCTGCTAAATTGTGTAGAGAAGTTACTTTTTCACCATTCCAAGCTCTATATTGTTGTGACTTAACAGAAGTGCATGGCTTTACAGCACTTAAAAAATGGGTACAGCACTTTAAATTAAACATTGTTAAATGAGATATTAAAATTTGAAGTGCTGTATTTTACAGCACTTTAACAACCTACAGTGCTTTAAATAACTTTTGTATGCTGGTCAAATTTCTGACTGTGGGCTGCAGAGACCCCTGCATCCTAGCCTTAGCCTTGAAAGTTCACGGAGGTTCATGCCCAGAGCACTTTTGTACACAACCTAAAGGCCCAAGTTACTGCAAATGCTCAGATATATCATACTTTGAAAAGACAAGATAGGTTGATGAAATTAATATGCCCCATTAATAGAAAACCATTCTGGTCTGATTTATAGTTTCAGTTTTAAAAGCACTTTAAAAAGGTTTTTGACTTGAGCACTTAAAATATTGTGTAAAATACTTCTTTTAAGGTATGGCCATATACATATAGACACAGCTTTGGAAAGAAGGTAGCTTGATTGTAGAACAACATACCAAAAGTGAAAAGGTATTTTATCATTTCAATAAACTGGTTTCTTAGCAAAAATGTTTAGTTATATAAAACACATATATACTTTATCAACTAATATTCAGATTTCAAATATTTAAAAAAAAATCAGACTCTACTAACTAGAGACTTTCATTTTAGATCATCTTAAAGTGCTGAACAAGGGTAGGATTTTACATTATATTATAATAAACTGAGGAATACACAGACTTTATATCTGTTCATGTGCACTGAACAAAATTCTCTCCTCGGTTATTTCTGTTCAACTGAATTTGGTATACAGAGGGGATGTCTACATGTGCACTTTAATGCACAGTAGCTTATTTTACTGTACATTGTGTCATGTCAAAAACCACACTAATAAGCTAATGCACAGTAAAAAAAAAGGCTACTGCACATTAAGCATCACTAAAAAAGTGTGTGCTTTCACTCCTGCGCATTAGGGGAGCCTAATGCACATTTATTACTACCTCACCCTAGAGATACTAAATTTAATAAACATGTAGACACTCCCATTTGTAACTGAAATAGAAACAAAACCATTATACTTAAGAAGAAATAGCTTCAATTTATTTGGCAACACTGACTTCAAGGGAAAAAAAGGTGGGGTAGGGGATGGATAGATTGCACCCAGTCCCACAGAGCTACTGGACAGTCTTTTAGATGGAATTAAAGCATGACAATCATGAAAAACTCATTAAATTTAACTGGCAAATGATACAGAATCTCATAGTACCAGTTATAGTTACAGATAAGTTAGAGAGAGTCTACCATTACTTTGTCCTCGGAGCTTCCCTCAAATGAGACTCTCTACTGGAAATCCATAAACATGGAAAAGACTGTAGTGACATAAACTGTAGAGAGAAAAGAATAGTGCAAAGCCAAGGGCTGGACATTTTAATCTGTCACAAGTAACCCTGAGCACTATCATTACTGCTCTTAAAGAAAACATGTACATAAAATAATTTCAATGTATAATAAATCACAGTTGCCTGCATTGCACTTCATATTTAGGATGCACTGACTATCTTTCTGCTTTCCTCAGAAGCAGTGGATGGACAATAAATATAAATTTTCAAACAAGTACATGCTGACTGCCTTCCAGTCATCATTGGTAGCAAATTCATTCAGCATTTAAAAAAAGAAATCAACTAAAAAGTAAAGCAGACAATATTTAAGGCCTTTGTCCCTGCTAGTCTGCTCTACAGACTATACTTCCTTAAATAAGAACATTTACCACTTCTGTTACAGTAACCAGAAAGAGAAGTAAAAAAAAAAAAAAAAAAAGATCACATTTACTGCCAAGAAGGCAAGATTCCTGAGGCTTAGCTAAACAAAATAAAAAGGATGTTCACTTTATCAGTTTTTCTGTAGCCTCACATATAATGAACAAAAAGATAAGCTAAAAGATATTGTCCGATGTGTTTATTTCTGACTTTGCATTACGTTCACCATATATCTATCTTCAACAGTCCTTAGCAAAAGGACTTGGAATCACTATTGATTGTAGTGCAAAATCATATCAATTCCCACATGATAAGAAAATGCACAAACAGAAACCAGGCACAAAAGCAAACACTGGCCAATGCTGGTATGAATCCAGCCAATGATATTATAATTGCTAAGGGATCCAGATCCAATCTTGGTACTCCCATGCAAAGTAAACCCATTAGTTTCAGTGGAGTTACTCTGAATTTTGCACTGGTGTAGCTGAGATCAGGATCTGAAATACACTGTAGTGAGGCACCAAAGTAAACTTAGAGAGCATTAAATGACAGCCTTTTAGATACAAAATAACTAAAGATAAATCATTAGTAATAGTGCTATTTACCCATGTGGGGGACAGAAGTGAAGATGACCAAATAAACAGAGCTAATATTTACATAGGATTTTTTTAAGAATCATCTGTAACAGTTCCTTAAGGGTTACTTGGCTTAGCCACATATCTAACCAAGTAATATTTTTCCAAGGTTCTTGTTACTACTCTATTTAAACTACTGCAACAGTATGATATATCTATCTAGATCTAGATATCAAGATCTAGATCTAGATATAGAATCATCTGTAACAGTTCCTTAAGGGTTACTTGGCTTAGCCACATATCTAACCAAGTAATATTTTTCCAAGGTTCTTGTTACTACTCTATTTAAACTGCTGCAACAGTATGATATATCTATCTAGATATCAAGATCTAGATCTAGATATAGAATCATCTGTAACAGTTCCTTAAGGGTTACTTGGCTTAGCCACATATCTAACCAAGTAATATTTTTCCAAGGTTCTTATTACTACTCTATTTAAACTGCTGCAACAGTATGATATATCTATCTAGATCTAGATATCAAGATCTAGATCTAGATAGATATATCATACTGTTGCAGCAGTTTAAATAGAGTAGTAATAAGAACCTTGGAAAAATATTACTTGGTTAGATATGTGGCTAAGCCAAGTAACCCTTAAGGAACTGTTACAGATGATTCTATATCTAGATGTAGATATAGATATATTATATACTGTCTGAGTACATACAAAATGTACTGTGTACTTTGTGTGCATGTGTTCCATTTTTAAAAATATATATAGGTTTCACAAACACCCGCACAATATACATCCACACACAAATTCTCCATGGTGTACTTTATGTTCTCTTGGAGATAGATCATGGCTTTTCATAATGTATTAGACTTACACAAGTTCATATTCAGTCACATTATTCACAACAGGCAGAGTGAAATTAAGCCAATAGTAGATCAGCCCAATAATGCAGCAGAAGTGCAGATAAACCTAATATTTTCAAGAAAATCATGCCACATTTGACTTGAACCAATATTATTTTTTAAGGAAGAATTTGCTACTTTTCCACTCGAGTAAAAGCCCCATCAGCTTGAACAGCAGCAAGTTTGGGACATTTTTAGAACCTTATTGTAGTAATAGATATCCAATTTAGATGATACTTTATAGAAATTTTGAAGTGTGGTTATATATAGTACCAACTGTAAGATGTACATGTTTGTTTCACAGTTAAATAATACACCAAACATTATCTTTAAACATGATTTATAGCACAAATGTCAACCATCAATAAGGGTATAATACTCCTAAAAAATTACCAGCATAAACAATTCTGTATGTGTGTGTATGCAAAATTTCACTGAAATAATCCATATAATTCAATAGTTTAGTTACAAAATATGAGTTACCTGAATTTCATTCTTGGTAACTTATTCACTTCATAATTTTTCAAGCATCCCTTCCAACAGACATTTTCAGATACAGATGAAAGAAACTTCACTGCGTCTGGATAAAGGGAAACTATCAAATACATTTTGTTAAACAAAATGGTGAGAACAGACCAACAGATAACAGCAATTAATTTCATTTTTTTTAAATCAAAATCTTGATGTATTAGCAGAGTTTTAAGAGGAAGTCTTATATGTTTACACATGCTCCCTCAGTTGGTTGAGTAAGTGGTTCTGCTAAGGCAGAAGAACAATACTGCAGGAACAACACATTCAGACTGTAGGAAGTTCTCTCTTTCTTACAGCTTCTATCATGTTCAAAGGTGGAACATATATGACCATTTTTCTGACATAACCATATATACACACCACAAATTCCTAGTCTTTTCCTGCACTGTGACTTGCAAATGATATAGTGGCCTGTAAAGTAGAGGCACTTATCCCAAAAGTTGGCAAGAAGAGGGAAAATTATTTGGTAGGGATGGCACCAAAATGCAACCTTTGTGCTTTCTCACTCACACAGATACTATATAGCTGGATGCAAAGACGCACACAGAGTTTTAGGTTGTGGGTGGGTTGTGCTTTTTCTTTTTGCCTCGGCATGATTTGCAGATGCAGCAGATAATACATGGAGATGCCACAAGCAGCAAAGGAGATGTCACCAATGCTATGATGCCCAGACCCACGAGGATGCCCACAACCTGAAAAACAAAAGAAAATTATGATATTTAACAAAACAGGAAATAAAGTGAATTTTATGTGCAAATCACAGGCCAAACAAATGCAGTTGGTCTAAGTACAGACAGTCAAAAAGTATGAGGCTGAATTGACTCAATCTTCACTGGTTAGTCTAAGCTATGTAGATTAAACCAAAAAGCAAGTGAACAGATGCTCAATTTTAATTCTGGAAATAGAGCCACATGCCTGCAGTGGTCCAAGCCAGAAACCGGAGGGCACTAGAACACACGTCCCTATTTGGCTGGAGCAGACAGCTTGGGCCAAGGCTAGCCCATCCACCCTGCAAGGTGAGGCAGAGGTGGGCAGGGGGGGGGGTTGCGGGGGGGGGGCAAAGCATCCTGGGATGCTGCGGGACTGAGTTAACTCAAATATGGAGGGACCTAGAACAGAAGATCAATAAACTGATTTAACCTAAAATCAATTAGGTCTGATACTATGTCTATCCAGGTTTGTCTTAAACCTGTTTCAGACATTTTGAAAGCAGTTTATGTACACTGAACTTCTGTTGTGTTACAGACTTGAACCAGTTTCTGATCACTTGTACCAGTTTATGTATCATTTCTGTCCCTAGCCCTGAAGTCCTGATTAATGGTTTGGTTCATTAACCAAAGGATGAAATCTCCCTTCCCCAGATATTTGTGACACTGCTCTGTTTGAGTTCTGTGTCAGCCTACCTGTGTTCTGTTCCACATAACAGAGGCTCGGGAGTGGCCCAGTTTATTTCTGCAGGGGCCTTTGTCATAATGTCTTAAGAAGATATCATTCTGAAAGACAAAGGAAAGCTTGTACTGAGCTGATCATAATAATATGGGAAGATGCCCAGGACAGAACTAGAAATACCACTTTTCCATGAGCGCTGTAATATTAACTGTTTCTGGCAAGCAAGCTCACCTGCCTGCCTGCAAAATATCAAACACACTTTTTAAGTTACTTCAGATCTTTTCGGGGGGCGGGGGGGGAGGAGTTAATCTTCAGTTCTCCTAATATTGCTATATTTTCTAGTCAATTCTTTCAGATGCTTAATGGGGTGCTCATCAAAATGGGAACTCCCCACTTCCATTTTCTTCTTTCATAATGTTCATTATCATAATAAGATCAATAGCGCTCAGTCTTCTGCCAGACAGGTCCCCTACCATCAAAGCCTTGCATTTCCTTTCATTTCTCAACCTGTATAGCAACCTGGTTGCTATACCAGCACTCTAAAACTATGAGCACTTATAACCTTGTGTTTTACAAATGCTTTATTGTAACCATTTAATTGCTATACTTTGTTGAGAAATAATTTAATAGGTTTTTCTTGAGCTGATTAAATCCAGATAAGGGCATTTCTACAGATGATATGGAAATTTGACATCTCTCCAATTCAGCATAGCATTAAGCGATCATTGTGTACTGTATGTACCCAGAGACAGCCTACGAAACAGGCTTGAAAAAACAGCATGCTTACATAAATAAATGGCCTGAACAGAAAGTTGAGCAAACCTTACTTAATGTGTTGAAAAAGGGAAGGCTCGAGAAGAGGAGGTTTCATAATTTAGACGCCATGTAGCAAAAACAAAATCCATAATTTTATCTCAAGTACTGGTACAAAGAGTTCTTTTTTTCTCACCTCCTACAAGTATTACTAGTGACTATGCCAAACTGATGCCATCACTGTACACCAATGCACTGCTTCTTTTGGACTTACTCCTACAAGTAATCCTCAAACCAAAGGGAGTTGAGTTTATTTGATCTTGTGTGGGAGGTGGTTGGCAAGTTGCAAATTTGGGCCATTTTTATGGTAACATGCCAGCTGAGTTCAGACTCCCCATTCTTGCATGCCCTTGAGCAGTTTATATACATAGTAAAATTCTAAACATGGAAAATAGTTTCTTCCACCATCAAGCTTATTAACCTCCTCAGCAAACACAGCACAAAAAACTGACTATGAAGGAGAGACTTAAAATGAACTCCACACTGACTGTATTTTGAAATTGTAGTCTTCACCTAGTACCAGGCGAAGATTTTGGATAAGTTGGTATTAGAGGCAGGGAGAAGACATCAACCACTTTTCTCTCTTTAGCTGTCCTCCCATTTATCTTTAGCTAGGACACCAACAGAGATTATCTTAGAAATGCATGGCTGGAATCTCAGCCACAAGTCTATCTCACTACACTAAGGCAGTATCCATTTTCCCCAGAAGAAGTTATCATGGACAAAGGGGCTTTGATATATTCCACTTCTCTCTTTGGCAGCAAGGGAATGGCAGTTAATGCTGCCACCATTCCCCCACCACCAAATTTCTGGACCTATGAGGAGGCCCCTGGGCTGGATGACATGGTCTCATGCACGAGGTCTGGCCCATCAGTCAGAGGCTGAGCACCACTAGTATAAACAATAGGTTTGGCCGAGTGAAACAAAAACAGGTGAAGGTAGGAGAGATGGGTCAAGAAATTTATCAGAAGATAAGGGAGTGTGGGACCACTTAAATAGTGACCTCAGACTTTTAAAAATGTACTCTTTAACCATTAAAGAATCCCAGGAAATCAACATTGATATATCATTGTCCTAGAAAGAGTTGAGGAATATGGAGATACCATATTTTCATGCACGCCATGGCCTTTCACACATGCACACATAGGACATGCACCTTGTTTTGGCAAAACTAGAATGAAAAATAAAAGATATTTCTACAGTTATGACTGCATAACACAGGAATGGAGTCTAATCTTCAGCTCACTTCTCCTCTATTTTCTTCTTAACCAGAAGTTGAAATCCTAACTGTCACAACCCAGTGATTTTTGTGCCTCGGCACTATGGAATTTCCTGGCCACATGAGAGCTCCTTTGCACGGCAGAGTGTTCTGCTGCAATTGAGAACCCGCGTGTAGGAAAGAGTTCCCGCCAATTTACAGTTTCCTTTGCAAGATGCATTTCTTCTTTGCAGCACAGAAATGCACAGTGCAAAGAGTTCCAGCTATTCGGATGCAAATTTGTGCCCCGCTATTGGCCAGTGCTAAATTATTCACACGTGGCAGCTAGTAATTGGCTCGCTGGCCGTTTAAAATTCCACGCGACTTCCGCCCAAGTAGAAGAGCTTTGAGCACGCTGCAGAGTGCCTCTGAAGTTATCTGACTTGTGGCTGCCGATCGATAGACTGATCACCTATCGATCTTTCTTCCCGTCACCGAGCGCAACCCCGATGTACCCCTTTCCCCGCCGGCTTTGAATTGCGGACGGATTAACTGACTTGGGCCCCGCCAGCTGGAACAACTTGTGTGGTTGTTCCGACGACCAGACCACCTGCGTCGCGATTGCAAGCAGCGTGAGTAAAGTTTTTTTTGCAACCAATAAGTTGCGTCTGCCTCTCCATTCACCAGCCCGCCCTGACGTACGAGCGTAACTCGAGTCAGCCCTGGCCGTCCGAGACACTAACTACTGCTGAAGACTGGTCTCCATATGTGACAAACTGGAGGAAAATTATATAATCTCTCTTAGGAATGAGGACTGAGGCCAGGGATCCAGGTTTTCCATTCACTGTGGAAAAATGTGGATTTTCTCTTTTAACTGAGAAAAATGTGGGAAACTACAGGTTTCCCCTCACAGGTTGGCAGAGTTCCAGCCTGCAAGGAGCTGCTTTGGACTGGGGGGAGCGAGGAGGGCAATTGGAGGCAAGGGGCGCCACATGCATGTACGTATGCACATGGCAGCCAAGCAGCAGTGGAGAGCAGCTTCCTCCAGGTAAGTTTATAGAGGCACAGGGGACTCAGGGGCTCAAGAGATGCACTGGGGGATGGGTGGGGGAGAGAGATAGGCAACATGACAGAGGAGCCAAGGCAATGTGGCATGGGGGGCACAGGCCCCCTGGGATTTCTATGCCCATAGCTGGCCATGCGGGGCTGCAGCTGGGCCAGACCAGCTCTGGGCAGGAGCTGCCTCTACAGCCCAGTAGACAGGACCCTGCACAGGTGGCAGCGCTGCTCTTGCAGTGGCCATCAATCTGAAGTATGTCAGCAGCTGTGGCACAGAGTTGTGCCCTTGCTGTTGCAGGATGGGGGG